AATTAAATGTTATATGGGTTCATGCTGTGTTCTTGGAGAGAAAAGTAGTGCTGTGAGCAGACCTCATCAAAGCAGAGAGTCTGGTGGCCTAACAGCATTCCAAAGGAAGTGCTGCAAGCTGACCTCATCAGAACAGTGAGTCTGGGGGCCTAACAGCATTACATGTAGAAACAGAGCAGAAGCAGCTCATTACCATAAAAGGGCATGAGCTGTAGAAAGAATCATGTGTTGGTAACTTGCAAGCTGAGAAGCAGAGCAGCACAGTTCGATACCTTAAAACGGCACAGTTTGGAGACAATCTAATTGTGTGCCAGAAAGCAAAACCTCCCTAAAAGAACTGAGGCCAATTAGAATAGGACACCAGACTGATAAGATGGAAACTGGGTTTGTCCAACAAATCCATCGTCTATATAAACCAAGCCTACTGGCAAGACGGGGCTGAATGGACCGTGGAGTCGAAGGTTTAGGACGATATAGCTTGACCCCCCAGGAGCCACTCGGAGAGAGTTGGGACAGCTCAAAAAATGACTTCTTTTTCATGAAGACAGGAATACTCCTTTATTCAGCCGAGCTGCTGCCAGACCAGATCCTTCAAAATTAGGACTGCTTTTGGAGAGTTAAGGGAGATTTCTTCCAGTGCTCTGGAAGAGATATTTATCGTGCCATTTTCCAAAAGTCTTCGGGCAAAAATGGTGAGCGACCCCTAACATATTGTCCAAATGCTACATTTTATATGAAGTAACAGTGTTTCTATAATTAAGAAGAAGGGTTAGATTAAGAGAGTGTTGTCCTGCTTCCAGCCTTCTTGAAAAGTTACCACATAAACTGTGTGCTGTCAAGGTGGATTGTAACAGTTTTGGCTAAACTTGGTTGGCGCATGAGACAGTCTTAGGAGTTTGTGGGGATTTAACATGCTTTGGCGCTCCAAGTGCATGTTAGTCCATTTTAATAGGAATAGGCTGCTCTGTAATGACAACCTAGGTGTTAGGAGATAGGATTCTCTACCTCAGCTCATCAGAGCCAGGAGAGCCTGGCCATAGTGGACACCCCAGGATCCTGAACGTCTCATTTGACCAATGAGATATTCCATGGAACTGGGCATGAACTCTTTGTCATTAATCTTTTAAAATGATCAAATGTAACCACTTAAAATGTGCTGATAATGCTGTACCCCTGCAAATCATTAATTAAAGCAAAGCATAAAATGTAAAATTCTGGACTGTCATTTCTACACTTCTTACTCAAGAATTTGGAAAGCTTGGTTCAATTTCAACAAAAGGAGGAGGTTTTTAAAGGTTTGGCAGCTTGGATCAAACAACATCCTGGAATTTTGTGCCTAGATTCTAAAAACTACCAGATCAGTAACAATTGTAATTCTACCACCTGAGGTGAGCGGCCAAGAATGCCAGTTTCCCTGTGATCAACGATCCAACCCCAGCTGCTAGGTTGGGCGAGTCACGGGGTGAGATAAGGGTGTGACTCGCATAAGATGGTCATAACAGTCTGGGTGAAACACCTTCAACACAGCCTTAAACAGAACTAGCCTAATGTCACTCTGGGTAACACTCAAGTGTTAGATTAGTTCAAGATACCCCTTGGAGGAGAGGCTGCAGCGGGGTTAGTCATAAATCCTTGTGATGACCTCTCACGGTAGATCGAGAACTGGAAGACCTTTTTGCTGAGGAAGAGGCACAACGTAATGTTACAGCTCCATGTCCATCAAGAAACAAGTGGAGAGGGCTGCAGATGTACCAAGACATTCCACCAGCTGTTCTGTCCGAGGACCCTGCTGCTGGTGGTGGAACAACACAAGACTTATCCTTTGCAGTCAGATCTTGCATTCTCATATTTATGTGTTCAAGCATATTCTACACCCAGCAAACTGTGTTCTCCACTGCAGGAGACACTGGCTGTCCAGAACGCTCACGCATACTGCCAGAGAAGCAGATATGATCATTTTCCTCAAAAATAACCATTTCTGATTTTATACTGTACCTGTTGCTAATATGGACTGGATTGTACAAGTTATTTTTTTTTATAATAATAATAATGATAATAATAATAATAATAATTTGTTTGATACTCTGCAGCCAGCAGGTTAGCCCATCAGTGGGAGCTCAGTAACATGGCTGCAGCATCACACACTGGACATGTGGAAATGTGTTTCCATGAGGTTTTCAATCATAAAGCTCTCTTGTGAATGATTACCCTTATGGAAAGAAAATTCATAACATATTGAAGTTTATAAGTTTGATATTTATATACTGGTTGAAAATGTTCCTGTGAGAAAGTCATAGTAAATTTAACAAAGTAAAAGTTCAAAGAATTTAAATTAAAACAGAAGTTCAAATTATTTAATCCAGAAAGATATCTGGCTAGATGCTCATTTATAGCATGATGGGAGTTAAATTCAAAGCAGTCTGCTCCTCAGATAAATAGAGTTAACTTATTAGGGCAGCTATGGCTGAGTGGTTAGAGCAGCCGTCCTCCAATGAAAGAATTGGGGGTTCGTATCCACCAGCAGTCACATGTTGAAGTGTCTCTGGGCAAGACACGAAAATCCTCATTGCCTCTGATGTGTGTCCGATGGGTGTATGAATGGGATAAAGCGCAGATTAGTCTCTTTAAAATGATTTCTTCCATTAGCTTTGTACAGATCTACAAACCGGATTCCAAAAAAGTTGGGACACTAAACAAATTGTGAATAAAAACTGAAAGCAATGATGTGGAGGTGCCAACATCTAATATTTTATTCAGAATAGAACACAAATCACAGATCAAAAGTTTTAAACTGAGAGAATTTATCATTTTAAGGGAAAAATCTGTTGTCTCCAAATTTCATGGCATCAACAAATCCCAAAAAAGTTGGGACAAGTCCATTTTTACCACTTTGTGGCATCCCCCCTTCTTCTTACAACACTCAACAGATGTCTGGGGACAAAGGAGACCAGTTTCTCAAGTTTAGAAATAGGAATGCTCTCCCATTCATGTCTAATACAGGCCTCTAACTGTTCCATTAACAATAACCAATGTTCCTCTAACTGTAACCATTCTTTGTCGCACCTTCCTCTTTATGATGCGCCAAATGTTCTCTATAGGTGAAAGATCTGGACTGCAGGCTGGCCATTTCAGTACCCGGATCCTTCTCCTACGTAGCCATGATGTTGTGATTGCTGCAGAATGTGGTCTGGCATTATCGTGTCGAAAAATGCAGGGTCTTCCCTGAAAGAGATGACGTCTAGATGGGAGCATATGTTGTTCTAGAACCTGAACATAGTTCTCTGCATTAATGGTGCCTTTCCAGACATGCAAGCTGCCCATGCCACAAGTGCTCATGCAACCCCATACCATCAGTGATGCAGGCTTCTGAACGGAGCGTTGTTAACAACTTGGGCTATCCTTGTCCTCTCTGGTCCGGATGACATGGCCTCCCAGTGTTCCATAAAGAACTTCAAATCGTGACTCATTTGACCACAGAACAGTCTTCCATTTTGCCACACTCCATTTTAAATGACCCCTGGCCCAGTGCAAATGTCTGAGCTTGTGGAGCTTGCTTAGAAATGGCTTCCTCTTTGCACTGTAGAGTTTCAGCTGGCAACAGCGGATGGCACGGTGGATTGTGTTCACTGACGATGCTTTCTGGAAGTATTCCTGAGCCCATTCTGTTATTTCCTTGACAGTGGCATTCTTGTTTGAGGTGCAGTGATGTTTAAGGGCCCGGAGATCACGAGCATCCAGTAGAGTTTTATGGCCTTGACCCTTACGCACAGCAATTGTTCCAGATTCTCTGAATCTTTTGATGATGTTATGTACGGTTGATGATGATAACTTAAAAGTCTTTGCTTTTTTACGCTGGATAACACCACTCTGGTATTGCTGCAGTATCTTTCTGCGCAACAATGGTGGAATTGGTGATCCTCTTCCCATCTTGGTGTCTGAGAGACACCGACACTCTGAGAAGCTCTTTTTATACCCAATCATGTTGTCAATTGACCTAATTAGTGTTAATTGGTCTTCCAGCTGTTCATTATATGATCAATTTCCTTTTTTCAGACACTTATTGCTACTTGTCCCAACTTTTTTGGGATTTGTTGACACTGTGAAATTTTGAATCAACATATTTTTCCTTTAAAAAGTTACATTTACTCGGATTAAACGTTTGATTTGTCATCTATGTTATATTATGAATAAAATATTGACATTTGCCATCTCCACATCATTGCATTCAGTTTTTATTCAATTTGTTTATTGAGCATGGATTATTGAGCATGCATCAGGACACAATTTGTTTAGTGTCCCAACATTTTTGGAATCCGGTTTGTAGTAGAGTGCTGTATGAATGGGTAAATGAGGGCACAGATTGTAGTGTAAAGCGCTTTGAGTATCTCGATAAGATAGAAAGGCACTATATAAGTACAGTCCACAAGTACAGTCCATTATTATTTTTATATGAAAGTTTCTGTTAACTTATTATTTTTATATATGATTGTTTCTGTTCAGTGCCCTGAGACGACTTCTGTTGTGAATTGGCACTATACAGTATAAATAAACTGAACTGAATTGACGTCTTTTTTTAAACCCGCTTCTAAAAAGAATCGGAAATCGAGAATCCATAGGAATCGGAATTGATACTAAGAATTGGAATCGGAACCAGAATCGCTCAAATTCAAACGATGCCCAATCCTACTGACAACAAACAAATGTTTAAATCAATCAATCAATCAATCTGTTTTCAAATCAATCATGCCGTGTATCAGATTTAGTTTGAGATATGTTTTCATTTTGACACCTGGTCTTTTTGTGCTTTTCTTCCTTAAAAAACACTTTAGATATCTTTGATCAAAATATGGCCGTAAAACTTAACATGAAGGTTCTGGATGGTGCTTCATGTTTCGTGACATTTAAATAATAGTCATACATCAAAATCTAACTTTCTAAAGCACAAAAGGACTTTGGTGTGTCTACATGGATCATTGGAGTGGGCCAGTGTGACAGGGTTCTTACCGGCTACAGGTGTGGTCCAGCAGCAGTGATACAGAGTCCAGTCCACTGTCCAGCTTGGTGTTGTGGTACAGGCAGCGCTCTCTTTGTAGCTCCATGGCCTGCTTCAGAAGAGTCTGCAGGCGGTGAGGAGGAAGCATCACAGACGGAGGCAGGGACGCTGCAAACATGTTAAAGTATTTTAGAGTTTACCAAGAGAAAACAAAACACCTGAGATCAAATACAGGCCGCTGCATGGGTAATCTTTTATTACTCACTACTGTTGTATCTACTCTTCATTTTAAGGCCCTCCTAATAGGCATGACAATATTTTAAAAGAAAAAGAGTTGCAAGTGTATATCAATACAATAACTCATCTGACATATTTTCTTGGCTGCAGGGTCCTCAACAAGAATTTCATTGGTCTCATTTGACATCCCTTTTACTCTTTCTAATTCAAAATCAAAGATCATCAGCAAAGGTGGATTGCAAGCCATGTACACGGGCGCCATCTTACCGGAAGTGTTACAGGAAGAAATAAAAACAAAAACGGAGTGGCGTCAAGTTTTAGTGGTTTTAGGATTTCTATTTTTTAATTTTTCAACAATGGACTCAGCATAAGTGGAAGATGAGGCAGAAGACCATGGAGAATGTTGTTTTTCACACAAGGCAAGCTGGCAGCTCCATATAAGGTAAGAGAAACATGTGTTTGTTTGCCCTGCCTTGTAGTCCTCTTCCTGCTTGCGGAGCAGTGCCCGTTCTGCTTACATTCACACTGTACTCGAACCGCGCTGGAGTTTTCTTCTACCAGACCGAGACCTAGGTTTTAGCCCGTGCCAGAGTTCGCTTTTTTGTTCCGTGACAGAGTTCGATGGCAAGTTCACACCTCCCCAAACGAACCAGACTTCCTAGGCAAACGGGCTAGAGTTTGGGACAACAGGGCTGGTGTGAATGCACCCTGAGACAGCAACTAACCTGGGTGTGAGGCTGGACAATGATTTTAAGCTATTGCACAGATTAAATCTGTGGTCAAGTCCAGCTTTGATCACTTGAGACAAATGGCCAAGATCAAACCATTTCTATCACGACATCATTTTGAGATTTTAATCCATGCTTTCAAGTGTGAAGAAAAAAAAACAATGTTTGATTATAAATTGTGAGAATAAAAATAATGTTTAATTACAAATTGGGAGAATAAAAAAACATGGATTATTTGGTACAAAGTTTAATTATGAATTGTGGAAAGAGAACATGTAAGGTTTGCAATAATATCTGTTAGATGTGTAAACTAGGCCATACGTCAATAAATATTGCTATAATATCTGTTTGCAGGGACTGCCAACTTTAAAATCAACCCTGACACTTTCTGCTGTCAGTGAGAAAACAGTTCCTTATTTCTAATAAGTCGTGTAATGAGAAACAAACATCAAACTAAAGGTTTTTGTTCATTTACCTAAGATCAACTATAAATCTAAATTATTCCATCGATAAAACATCATTTTAGTGTTTGTTGGGGATTATAAAATAATTATTAATGATTCAAAGATTAGGCGAACTAGGTCAGAACTATCCTGGGTCTTGTGGAACAATCTAAAACTTGATAATGTGCTGAAATAACGGGATAATCATAGTTTCACAGTCACAAAAATTGTAAGCTTGTATGTGGGTGCTTAATCTTTCTAACTAACAGAAAGATAGGATGTGCCACGTACTCAGTTGAAGAAGATGACGTGTAACTAGGGTGAGGTAAGAGCTGTGATTAGATAGAAAATTATGGTATAATTGTGGAGCACATGACACTCACATCAGAACTGTAGAGGGGCTGAAGGATAGAAGGTAATTACACAATTCTCCAGATCTGTGATTCTTGTTCATCCAGTTGGAGTTTATTTAATAAAGTATTGTTAATTCTAAAAGAAGCATGTTTTCCTTCCGAGCAAACAACCTGGGGAGGTCAGAGGAGGAGATTCCAGACCTAAAAACAACTCGTCTGGACTACCGTAATTCACTTTATGTGGGCCTGAGCCAGTCGTTACTGACTCCGACTTCAGCTGGTTCAGAATGCTGCAGCTCGCCTTTTAACTGGTACCAGAAAACAAGAGCACATCATCCCTGTTTTAGAATCATTACATTGGCTCCCAGTTTGTTTCCAGATTAATTTTAAAGTTCTTTTATTAGGCCCGAGCAGCGAAGCGCTGCGAAGGCCTATTGTAATCGCTCTGTTCAGGCCCGAGCTGCAATTTTTTCCGCCAAATGAATTGGCGTTTTGGGGGCCTTAACATATCCCAAAAGTCACCAAATTTGGTGGACGCATCAGGACTGGTGAAAAATTACGTATTTTAAGGGTGTGGCAAAAATCGCAACAGAAACGGCTCAAGAGCGCCACCTGGAAATTTTCAAAATACCCTCCACATTAACCTTAGTTTGTCGTAGAAACATGAAATTTGGTATGCTTGTCCAATTCCCTAAGATGCACAGAAAACCCACTGGAACCAACGTTGTACGATAAACAGGAAGGTGGCCATTTTGGAATGTCGTCTCAATTTTCACACCTTTTTGACGGTTTACAGCCTCTGTATTTGAATGAACTCCTCCTAGGGATTTCGCTCAATCAGTTTCACACTTGGCCATTTTGGTCAAAAGGCACGGGGGACGAAAAGTTATCAAAACGGTGCAAACCGAAGCATGCTGAAGGGGCGGGGCCAGACCTCAAATTTGGACATTTTGACATGAAAAACGAAAAGCTAATAGCTCTTACAAGAAAACTGTCTGAGACATCAAACCTTTTTACGTTGAATGGTCCCTATCTGACCCCTGATACCTGGTCATCATGATAGTGTGTCCAGTGACCGAAGACATGTTGGTGTAACTTGCTTTCCAACACTGACAGTTTGGAGTGGAGCATGTGGGCATTGCGACGTGGCGAAGTAAGACGTAACGCCATCGCCATACGTTTGGCTCTACATTCCACAGATTTGAACCGAGGTTCACCAAAATCAGAACTATCAATCATTATCCACCCCTTGAACAGGAAGCCATGATAATTGCCCAATAGCCTCCACAGCGCCCCCTAGAATATTTTAAAACCTCAGCCCCAAGCCCTTTTTGACCGATAATTCTGAAACTCGGCGAACATCTGTATCTTCTCAGGACCTATGAAAAAGTCTCTTGGAACCCTGGTCCAAACTCAACAGGAACTCAGCCATTTTGGGTCAAAGGGTAATTTTTGGGCATTTCTAATGGTGAATTTTAGCAAACTCCTCCTAGGGATTTTGAGTGATTGCCTTCAAACTTGGTTAATATGCCCTTAAGACTTTGGAGAGTAAAAGTTATCAAAAGCTTTCGGTTTCGTTTTGTTAAAGGGACATGGCCAGGCCTCAAAGTTGCGCTTCACGCCATAAATTTACAAACGCTATAACTTTCACATTGAAAGACCGAAATGCAACAAACTTGGCATGACTCATCCCTGTTGGATACCCGATGATTAGGAATGCGCGATATAAACGATATATGGTAGAAACGATAGAACTTTAGCCTACGATAGAGATCTGTCTTCTACCGGCTAACCACAGTAATGCTGTGTCTGATGTAAAATCAGAGTTGTCAGATTTAATCGTTACTTTTTTTGTTGAAAACTGTGCGCAAGTGGCGTTAAAGTATTTTCTTCGAGAGCTAAGTAGCGAAGCTAAAAGCTAACTATGCCCGGCTTGCCGTATTCTGACGCATGCGCAAAATGCTGTGTTCCGTCAAAATTTTTATTTATTTTTTTCTGTCGAAAGTTAAAGTAAGCGTTGGTCATCTTTAGAGAAACCTGCTCTCTGATCTGTGAAAAGAATGCTGTGTTGTGTGATTTTACTGCGAGACCCTCTGGTCAAAGCCACAGTCATTTTGTGTCAGTTCTCCATTAAAGCGGAGGGAGTCGCCAACTAGAGGTATGGAGGATGAAGTGTTTCAGTGTAAAATGCTGCTCTGTTGCTGTTCATTTATTAAGTAAGACTGGAAACTGTTAACATATTCTTTTGTTTAAAACATATGGCAAAAACTACATTTTATATATTTTGCACTGTTTTGCACTACAAGCAAGAAGCCTAATACTTGATTTGTTTATTATTTAAAAACTCTCTGGACCTAGTAGTGGAATTTTCTTAATTCAAAATATATTCTGGCAAAAGGACACCCTATGCTTTTTGAAAATTTCCTATTAAGTTTTATACCCAAAACATATTGCGATATATATCGTTATCGCTACCCTTCACAATACATATCATGATATGAATTTTATGCCATATCGCACATTCCTACCGACGATCCACTGTGGTCATATTTTGACATCATGAAAGCCACGCCCCCTCAGAACAGGAAGTCTGTTTTTTTACTTGGAATGCTCCCTCTTTGACACCCTTGACCTAATCAGGATGATCCTGTCTTACAATACAGATTTGATTTAAAGTGCAAATTGTTTTTGCTGGAGGATTTGGGCATGGCAGCATGACGAATTAAGAAGTGACACCGTTGCAATACGTTTGGCTCTAAATTGCACAGATTTCAACCGAGGTGCACCAAAATCACTATGATCGATCATTATTCAACCCTTGAACAGGAATCCATGCTAAGTGACCAATATCCACCATATCGCCACCTATATTATTCTTACAGTTATAGCTCGGTGATAATTCATCCATTCTGCACCAGATTTGTTGTGCGTCATCAGCGAGCACTTTTAGACACACTGATGTGTTGGTTTAACATATGACTCTAGTGCACCCCCTACATTATTCCAACAGTTATATCTCAGTAATATATCATACGATCTGGACCAGATTTTGGTACGTCATTAGTGAGCACTTATACACACATTGGTATTGTTGTTTTACTTTTGACTCAAATGCGCCCCTACATTATTCAAACTGTTATATCTCAGTGATACATCATCTGATCTGGACCAAATTTTTGGTGCTTTATTAGTGAACACTTCTAGACACATTGGTGGAGTTGTTTAACTTTTGACTCCAGTGCACCCCATAGATTATTCTAACAGTTATATCTCAGTGAAATATCATCTAATATGTACCAGATTTTTTGTGCGTGATCAGTGATCATTTATAGACACATTGGTATTGTTGTTTAACATTTGACTCAAGTGCACCCCCTAGATTATTCCAACAGTTATATCTCAGTGCT